ACAAATATTATATTTTGCGTTGCCTTAGTTTTAAGCGACAATTAGAATTGTTACATCAAAGTTAAAATGTAATCTGGAAAAGAAAAAGAAGGGAAAACAAGTAGACGCTTATTTAAAAAGATTTTCTGACCCCAAAAAGCTTCTACACTATTTGTTTAATTTCCCCTTTAGGGGTTTTAGTATATAGATTCATTTTGATTAGTTCTCTTTTTATCCATTTCGACGCATTCTCTATCTTTACAGGGGTATGGACGACAGCCAAAGAAATCTGCCTCGATCTGCTGGTTGTTGGATCTAGGTATGTACATCCACACAGACATTACCTCTCATGCTCTGATTTATTTCATAATCCAATATTTTATTGGTTTTATCCTGCCTCTGCATTTTCTTAAATTGCCGTAACAATCAAAAATGTTATTGTTTATTTTATATGCATATATTCTCATTAATTTGGGTTTATCAAAAGATTGTCGAAAGTACATTTTATATATTTTTTAAATTATATTGGTCTGATTGTAACACTTTATTTATAGTATTTTTTGTATGTTACGAACAGACAGAGGCAGCTACATATATAGTCTGTGGATAGAATTCATTCTGAAATAATCTACCAAGTTACTATTATTTTTTGCATAGTACTTTCGCTTTTTGAGTTTGCACTCGAAATACAAATCTTCTGCTCTGCTTATATTGCTCGCATTTGGAAAACTCTACTTTAATTCTTAAAAGTTTAAACCATTTAACGATTCGTTGTTAAAGGGTTGCGGTTGATAAAACTTTCACTTATAAAAACCATTTTTTCTTATTTAAGTTATTTGTGCGAAGTCTACTTGAATTCTAATAATATTTTTTTTATAGATTTTAGCAAATAATTTTAGGAAAATATGTTAAAGCTTTTTTTATTGCTATCTTAAAGTGGAAAAGTTGTAAAGTGTAGATTTAAATAGAGAGATTTCCTAACCAACGGTCTTAATCTTTACTTTTATTTTACATTTCATTTTCTTATTCAATTCGTTTTGGCAAGCTGTACTTAAATTTAAACCTTAAAGACTTAAGGTTGATAGAACTTTCACTTATAAAATCCATTTTTTCCTTTTTAAAATTTTTGTGCGAAGTCTACTTGAATTCTAATAAAAAATTTTTTAAAGATTTTAGCAAACATATTGTAAGAAAATATTTTAAAACTATAACGTTTATATGAATTGTTTTCTTAAAGTGAAAAAGTTGTAAAATGTTGATTTAGATAGATAGATTTCCTAAACAACAGTCAAATAGTTTTGGCGAGCTGTACTTAAATTCTATGTTAAATACTTAGTAGTTAGAATAAATTTTAAAACTCGTCCAAAGTTTTCGAAAATTGGAATAACACAGACTTAAATCGATTAGGTGCCTATGCACTATTTTATTTGTCATATAATTGATTTGCTTATACGAGTTAGTAGTTTTGCAAAAATGTTATCATTTATGTGGCGTTGAAATCACAAATTTTGAAAACTCTGGTGCTCTTGACCTAAGCAAAAAAGGGTTGGCATTAAAGCTCTTTATATCCTAAACAACAGTCTCAATCTTTAGTTTTATTTTACATTTCATTTTCTTATTCAAATAATTTTGGCGAGCTGTACTTAAATTCTATGTAAAATACTTAGTAGTTAGAATAAATTTTAAAACTCGTCCAACTTTTTCGAAAATTCAATAAAATTAATAAAACACATAAATGGATTAGGTGCCTATGCTCTATTTTATCTCTTATATAGTATAATTGACTTGTTTTTTTTTTATATTATTGCCATTTATGTTGTGTTGAAATCACAAATTTTGAAACGTAGACCTGAAAACCCTGGTGCTCTTGACCTAAGCAAAAAAGGGTTGGCATTAAAGCTCTTTACATTCTCAATCGCATTGCCCCTTAATTGAGTTCATACGCTGCATTTTTGATTGTCAATGTTGTCATTGTCGACAATGTCGTTGTTGTTGTTGTTGCTGCTGATGCTGCTGCTGCTGATGCTGCTGACTGGCGGCGACAATGGCGCGTTCGTTATCACACGACATTGCAGCACATGGGAATTGAGTCTAGTGACGATTTCGCCCGTTCACAGTCACTCACTCGTCTCGAGGAAGGCGGCAACTCTTTGGCTCTTTGGCTCTTCGGCTCGCTGGCCGCACTGAAACAATGAATGAGGACAACAGCAACAACAACATTAATAGTTGCTATGATGGAGAAGGCAACTTCAACTTCAACTGCAACTGCAATCCATCGTGGCTGCTGACGACAGACGGCAAACGCATTTCATGCTCATCAAATGCGCTGACATTGAACAATTGCGCGTAATGTTGTCGTACACTTGACAAGCGCGCAAATTGTAGTGTACCTGGCTGGCAGCCTTTACCTGTGCATGTACCTGTAACTGCGCCTGCGACTGTGACTGCGACTGTGTCTCTTAATAGCGATTGCGATTGCTGGATAGCCAAGTCTTTGCTCTCAACTTTTGGTCTAGCCGAAAAAACAACTTGAGCCTTGTAGCCGAGTTTGATGGAAATTGGCAAAGTTGTCTGTCGACGATCGTTGATTGTTGCTGTGTACGAGAGTCTAGTACCAGCAGAGTACTATGTATGTGGTGGGCTTAATGAAGCGACGACATTCACTGAAATTTCAACAACTGCCATTCGGACATTTAGACAGATAGAGAGACAAATGTTGTGAGTTCAACGCACATGTCAGCATCTGCCAATCGCCAAATATGTCAGACATACTCGCAGCTCGCCAAATACAATCAATCGAGATTAATAAGCCCATTGAGTGTGCGTGTATTGTTGTGATATACTACTATATGCTATATACTATATATACCCGTAAGTCGTGGGTAGCAGCGATAGCTAAAGTCAAATGTCATTCTCTCAAATGTCTATTCTTTGCGATTCTCCATACTATTTACAAGTATCGGCCATATCGACCGCATCGACAACCAAATTTGGCCAAGGCAATATTTTTGCCAGCCGTTAAAGATTTGCAGAGCAAACTGTAAAATGCATTTTTGTGCGCCTTAAATGGAGCGAAGAAAAAGTAAGCCCCCAAGCACGATAAAAAGTGCAAACGTTCGAAGTTGCTGCAACACAACAGCAACAACAACGACAAATACTAGTGGATAAAAATTTGCCTTCCAGTAGCACCAAATGGCCAAGAATCGTCGACAGCAGCAACAAAACTCTGGCACATGTGTTGGCAACAGCTTTTTGTTGGCAAAGTCTGCAGTTGGCCGACTCGAGGCAAATGAGCAGAAATCGAAATACAGCAGATGTAGCTACCTAGAAGGGATCTATGGCGCTTCTAAATTGCTGGATATTTATAAAGTTTCCCTTTTGCAAGCTTATCAACCGTATCGAGTTTAAGCAAACTGGTAAATTCTCTACAACTCTTTTGATTTTGTTATCTCATTAGATTTTATTGTGCATTCTATTATTCTTATGAAATACATAGAAAATAGATCAATTTCAACCTTTTTAAATACATAACTGAAATATAATCCCTTGATAAAGGATAAAAGTCTTAGGCTATGAAGAATTCCCTTTGAATATATGTAAAGAAAAAATAATGGATTACGTGTTTTTAGTTTCATTTTAAAACAGTCAATCCGTTGTGGGGTTTGAAAAAAAAATTGTCCTATTTCTGATTCTAAATTTAACATTTCCTTGAAAATAATGAGAAAGAAAAGCGAACCCGCTACTTTAGAAAGAAAGAAAAATAAACTCGTGTTGTCTAACAATTAGGAGAGTCTACATACCAAAGTAAGTTAATGTGGGTTTCGCCGTTTCCGAAATCCAGGTGTTCATCCAGTCAAACAGACATGTTTAGTATACATAATGGGTTGTAAATACTTTTTTGTTTGTCACATACTTTGCACAGCATTTTCTATTTTATTTCTCTCTTTGAAATCTATCTGAAATTATTTGCTGTTAAATTGCCAATGAAGTTTAAACAAACGTAACACATGTAAGGAAGAACTTAGGAACATACCAATTGAGGCGACTCTGGCAATAATTGCATTCATACAGACAGCCCTTCTCCTCATTCTGATAATAGTTTCTACATTTTGCTCCATCCTGTATAGAAAAGACTTGTTTGTTTTCTTGTTTTTGTGTTATGATAATTGTATTGCAAGATATCCTATTCAGCTAAGGGTATAATTTTCATTCAGCTCAAGGCCACTTGTCAATAATTTTCTTACTTTTCATTATATGGGCGTTCTCAAGGGTCTTTTGTCTTTCATTTTCTAACCCCATGAGGCCTATAAAAGAGGCAGCTTTTCTCCGTTCATTACTCGTTCTAAGGAAACGTTGTGCAACATGGAAACAGTCGAAAACGCATTGCGACAGCAAGACAAATATAAATGGCCGAGTTTTTTTGACCAATTTGTAGAGACATGGCTGGCGTTCTGGTATCAGGTACATCCGAGGCACATAACAGTGCATTACCATCGGGATCAGTTGAAGTTTGTATACATATATACGTAAATCTTCATTCCTTTTCTAATATTGTAAATGTTTCCGGGCAGAGTTTTATGGAACTATCCAAATCGAGAGGAGCGTCGTTCCCTGATGCGCCGCATTTGGCATTTTACCCTTGTGATACAGATCTGTTTTTTTCAGCTGACTCTAATCTGTGCCTTGCGAGAGTCCTCTGATAATGTTATGGATTTTGGTCAGGATCTCTTGTGGATAATTGGCGTTAGTACTTTACTTCCTGCGGATTATTCAAATAATTGCTATGGCTTCATATTTTAGACGAGTTTCATTTCACTTAAGACGATTTATTTTCATTTAAATGCCGATGCGGTCGACACGGTTCTTGATGCTCTCGAATCTTGCCACCATAGTCCAATCAACTCACCGCTTAAGGACGTTATACGATCGGAGCGACAACAGTTCTTTCTGCTTGAGTCTGGCTTGGGAATCGCTTGGTATGGTGGCGTGGTCGGCTTCTGCAGCTTGGCCTCCTCTCAGCCATGGTGGGGTTACAGAACCTACCTTTCAACGCAGTTTTTCCTTTTCGTTTGCATGACCCTGTTCAGCATCCGAAAGCTTATGTTGTTATCTTTGTCTGGCAAGTTGTATTCTTGTGGTATAACATGATATCCATTGTGGGCTTCGAGCTGGCATCTGTTCACTGCTTTCCACAAGTTGCTCTAAATCTCAAAATCCTGTGCATTGAGCTCCGACATATTGGCAGGATAGTTTCCTTTGATCAGAATAATTTTCGCAATGAACTTATTCGCCGGATTCTCTTCCATCAACGCATTATCAGGTGAGTTTAAAAGATTTTGTTGTGTGTATGCCTAATCCCAATTTTGGTTTATTCATTTTTGGTCCCCCAGTATTGTTAGGGACATCAATTCTGTGTTCTATGCACCTTTTCTAGCCCAAATGATCTGCTTGTTCTTAATGATTTCTTTATCGACATTTGAGGCACTCGCCGCCAGACGCGATCCAATAGCGGCATTTCGATTTGTATTCTTCATGGTCTTATCTTTTTGCCACTTATCGTATTGGTCCGTCTTCGGCGATATGGTTAATCAGCAATCAAAGGAAGTGGCTATCGCTGCTTACGACATTTACAATTGGCATGAACTATCCCCCAAGCTGCAGCGGGACATTATGTTCATAATACAGAGGGCACAAAAACCACTTTGCATTGTTGCTAGCCCATTTCCACCTTTCAATCTAACCAGCTACATGATGGTGAGTGGAAAATAGCACCAGTTTTTATTTAAAAGATACATAAACTTTATTTAATAATAGGTTCTAAAACAATGCTATAGTATTCTGACATTGCTGCTGGAGGCTCTGGACTAACCGGGGCTTTTAGAAATAAACATTTCACATACTGTTCTATAAAATATGTAGAGTTTTTGAAAATCATATTGTATACGAATTCTTAGTGTCTTGAAATTCTTAATAAAATACAAATACATTATGCACCGGTGTTCTAGCATTCTTAGAGCTCTGAGGTCTAGAATTGTAATCACGACGGCAACAATCGTAAACCATCTTAAGCAGTACTGGGTGATCGTTAGCTGAGAAAATGCTCAGAGTCCAATATAAAACAATATTAATATTTTATTAAAAGAGCATAAAAACGTGATCTTACTAATCGGCTTGCATTGCAAAAGCTGAACGAGTTAAGACCCGCGCACATGGAAAACTGCAAAATATCGTTTAAAAAAAAACATTATAGAACCATTATCGACCAAGACAACCGATCTTGGAGCTCAACTGGGTATACTCTTCCACTTAGCTCTCACGAAAGAGACTTCTTAATACGAGTAATACAAGTACAACTGGAGTAGTAAAGCACAAATATAAGTAATCCAGTTAGGAATCAAAGCTTCGGTAACCTTTCCCGGATTTAGAAAATATGTTCTTTATAATATTTGATCGATGATTATCAAATAAATTATAGATGTTACTAAACCGATTTTAAATCGCGTTATTAGAAAATTCTTAGGGTTTGTGCAAAGTATGTAACAGCGAGAATGAAAAATCCCATTCCCGATGAAGTATAACTACATGTATGTCCGTTTGTCCATCCGTCCGTCTGGATGAGCGCCTAGATTTTGGAAACGACTGAACGCACATTTACTAAACTTTGTATGTAGACTCTCCTATTTTTCCTTTCCGTTTTCCCCGCTACATGATTTCGTTAAACTTTGCATATTATATAGCTCTCTACTTTTCAGAGTTATTAAACAGTTAAAGTTACAAGTATTATTATATTTGTTTTGACCGTTTTTCTCCTCACCTCTACTCATTACATTCCAAAAGTTTTTCTTATGACAATTGGCTTGCAAACTATTATTTTCAGCTAAGGGTATAATTTCTATATAGTGTACGGGTGTTCCTCAGATTTTATTTAGTTGTAGGATAGTATTTTGCGACTTTTATTAGCATGCTGCCTTAATTTATTCAGTGAATCTATAAGATTTATAAAAAATACAGCGTTTCTTCATTCGTCAGTAATACCTATGGAAGGTCTACCAATTCGTCAAGACTTCGCTGAAGCCATCAAGTGCATTATCATTAGAATCAAATTAAGTTTGGATATGTGAATGGTTATAGTTTTCTCTTTATCAATAAATACTATATCTCGGTTGTTCTGTCTGCAAAAATTTATGCCTCAACTTGTGTGAGTCTAACTGTTGTACTTTCACAGATAATTACGTTAATAAGTATATAGGGAGAGACAAGCAGACTGCCAGTTTTAGCTATATCGACCCTTCTCATCATGCATTTCAACCTTCAGGGCATGAAATTGTTTTTTTTTTTTTTCTATTTATATTGCACTAAGCGTTCGTTGCAAGAAGAAAAGTATGGTTTGTTTTCTTGTTTTATTGTGATAATTGCATTCCATTTATCCAACTACGTTGTTCAAAGCATTTTCATCATCTACATATATAATTTCCACATTCAGCACAAACAGTTCAAGGCTTCGTTATATGGGCGTTATCGGGTTTCATTCAGTTCTTCTATAAAAAATTCTCAGCTCTTTTTACGCAGTTATTTATTATTGCGAGCCTATAAAAGAGTAAGTTTTCCTTCATTAATCAATCATAAGTAGAAAGGACAACTCTGGCACAATGGCAGCAACCGAAGAAGCCCGATTGTGACAAGAGGCCAAGTTTAAATGGCCACGTATTTTTTAGCAAGTTGTAGAGACTTGGCTGGTTCTGTGGTATCATGCCCATCCGCGGCACATAACAGTGCACTATCATCGGGATCAGATGAAGTTTGTACATATTCGAATATATTACACCTAATTCTGTTTTTACACGGTAGATTAGTTTCAGAAACAAGCGGGTAAAACAGACATTGATCATATGCAAAAATATGTGATCCTTATCTCTAAAGAAATATATATGCAATTTTTAATTTTCTGTTATATCAAAATCGTGTAAAAAAGACCGTGTAAAAACAAAATTAGGTGTATTTCTGTTCTAATACCGTTACTATTTGGACCAAAGAGTTATATGAACACACTTTCCTGCTACGTCGCATTTGGCACTATGTCCTTTTGATACAAACCTGCGTTCACAAGTTGACATTAATTATTTACTTGCGGGAGTCCTCTGATAGTGTCGTCGACTTTGGTGAACATCTCCTGTGGACAATAGGCGTTTGTATTTCAACTTAATAGCTTTTGGAAAAAACGCTAAGGCTTCCTATTTTCAGACCTGTTTCATAACAATTAAAACCATATATTTTAATTTAAATGCCGATGCAGTGGACACGGTTCTTGACGCTCTCGAATCTTGTCATCGCAGGCGCCCTAACCCCGACCTAAAAGAAGTTATACAATCGGAGCAGCGCCAGTTTTTTTTTGCTTGAATCTGTCTTGGGCATCGCTTGGTATGGTGGTGCGCTATTCTATTGTGCTTTGGACACCTCTCTGCCCTGGTGGGGACAATAGGACCTGCCATTCAACGCAGTTTTCCCTTTTCGCTGGCACGACCCTATTCAACATCCCAAATCCTACGTTGTCATGTACAAGTATGTATGGCAAAGCATACTCTTGTGCTATAATATGATGTCTATTGTATGTATGGAACTGGCATCTGTTCACTGCTTTCCACAAGTTGCCCTAAATCTCAAGATCCTGTGCATTGAACTCTGGCATATGGGCAGAATAGTTACCGTTGATAAGCGTCTCTTTCGCATAGAGTTTCGTCGCCTGATTCTGTTCCACCAACTCATTATTGAGTGAGTTAAATAGATTGCATTTTGTGGTTGGTTCATCATATACTCGCATATGATATATAAAAAATAAATAAAACAAACTCGTATAGCGTACACACATAAGCCATCTTTGTGCAATTTGGTGCCTCTAGCTCTTATAGTCTCTGAGATCTAGGTGTTCATACGGACAGACGGACGGGCGGACAGACGGACAGACGGACAGACGGACATACAGACAAACGGATATATTGATAACTTCGTTAAGAGTTCATGAGATTTATATACTGCTTCATTAAAACAAGCCAATAGTCTTTGGCGTATCTTACGGTTTTCACGGATACCTGTGCTTTAACCAAATGAAACCAAATTAATGATTCTAAGTGGAGTGACAATCGTCAATTTAGAATCAGCACTGACCTGACCGCATGAACAAAGCTTTCTAAACCCTCCCAGAATCATTTAAAACCGTTTTGGATTACCTTAGCATTTGAATTCAAATTTATAATCAGTCTGACCGCATAAAAAACCCTTTCTAAACCCTTCCAGAACCCTCTGAAACAGTCTTGGATGACACTTATCAGTCGGATTCCAAGTTTTACCTACTTACGGTAAATTAGTCCTTAAAACCAATATACTCATGAATATACATACTTTAAAAAGAGTTTGCATGGATAAAGCTGAAAAAAACTACTTACTTAAACATATTTTTAAAGACACCAACTTTTTTTTCTTATGTTTAATATTGAAAATATGAGCAGGTCAGAAGCTAAGCAAACCACATAACTGCTGTTGCGAAGATAATCGAAGAAATGTGCAATCCATAAGAACAGTCTTCGACTTGTCTCTCCCAGAGAAATCAATTTATTTCATGGATTCCTGCATGATCGAATAGTTGAAGCCATAAATTGTTTTGTCGATGACTTTTCAAATGACCTTCAATCAGTTCTTCTAAATACGAGCAATATCCCAAACGTTATTCGAGTCAACTAGAAGCGGCTTTGGTCATGGCTTCTTGGCTGCTTGGCTTGTTTACCGTTAATACAACTGCAGGGAGGGAAGGAAGCATTCCACGTTCGACGTCGATTATCGCACCACTCTCCGCCAACTTCGATAATTCGAAAATAAAAACAAGTTGCATGACTTGGTAGCCACATTGAACTATTTACGTTTTGGAAATTATGTTGTACTCTGGCATTTTTATCAATAATTTTGGACTCGCTGGCCGCGCTTGTTCCTCTTCTCCTGCTTTGTGGCAACGTTGTGGCGCAGACGAAGAAAGTTTTGCAACGTTGCATTTTATGCATGCGACCCCAAAAGGTCGCCACAGCAGCCCAACAATAACAACAAAAAAGAGCTCTTAGTTTCGTAAGAGGCAAGAAGGAAGCGGCGGTCCGAGTGGCTGTCCAGGAGTCCGACTGTGCCCATAAATTGCAATTGTGTGAACTTCGCGTGGTACGCTTTTCATGGCAGTTGAAGTTGGAGTCCGTTTTTGTTGTTGCCTTTGAAGCTGGACGAGCACTGCCAGTTGTTGCCCAGTGGCTTTGGATTGTTGTTGCTGCTGCTGTTGTTGTATCTGTTGCTTGTCCGTCATTAGCTTGATTGAATCTTATTGTTGGCAATTAACCTTCGCAGCTTAAAGGCCAAGCAGCAACAGTTCTTTGGCAGCGTAAAGAGAAATTGCGACATCCTAGTAAGGCACGCTCTCTCGATAATAACTTCATTTGTCGAACAACGTCAAAAGCAACTTCAACAACAACAACAACAACAACATCATGGCATAACATGTCATCTGTTTATGGCAAACTAATTACTTGCGACAAGTTTTGTGCAGCGAATGATTCGCCTCAATTAATTAGCAAACGCCAACTGACTAGGCCAAACATTCAGGCAGCCACCGCCAAGCCGCCAAGCCGCCAAGCCACTAAGCCACTGAGCCACTGAACAGGCAACCAACGCGCATGAACGTTCAAAACTGTCGAGGTTGAGTTGTGGCTCTTGCACGAATTGGATTCATTGCCCTGGCCACATTTGCATTTGCATGAGGCAGAGGCAGAGACAGTCGCCAACCTGCCTGTCTGCCTAAAACTTCAGGCCGCCTGGAAAAAGCAGGCCAGCAGGGCGAG